AGGAATCGATAGTTATGCAGCAAAGATTGGCACTTTTGAAATTAAGCTACTAAGCAAATTCAAACGGACCTTATCTCGATATAAACATCGAATGTGAATAGATCGAGAATACCGCAAATGCATGTACAAAAATCGAGACGACCTTTTCTTAAAATTGTATAAAAATAGTAGAAAGGTACTTACTTTATAAGAATAGTTATCTTTTATTTCTTAACCTGCACAGACAGACTTTAAAATTTTATATTCACGAAAAGACAATATTTCTCTATTGAATGTACATGTGACAAGAGCTGACCGGTGTGCTCGAAAACTTCGGTGTGAAAAAATGAGTATACTTTTGGGAAATTGTAACATGCTAAGGACTTTGTGGAACACTCCGAAAATTAGTGACCCGAAAGATCTTTAGATTTTGTATGTACATGATTTTTTCCAATTTGTATTATCAATATGCAGCAAAGATTGGCATTTTTTAAATTTCAATTTCACAAGCTTCTAATGCAATTATCTCGATAAATACTGAACATAAAACATCGTGTATTTGCATGTATATTTCTAATAACACAGTTTAACAAATAATTTCTCTAATATGTACAATTATTATTTAGAAATAACTTTTGATCAGTATCGTCACCGTCATTGTTTTATTATTGACTTTCTCGACGGTATCATAAGAAGAGTGAATTTTCTTTTGTTTTCGTTCACTGTGTAGTATTTTATGGTCAGTGGTTTCTCCATAAGCCGGGTACTCCTATAACACGGACCATTTGTTTCCTGCTATGCTGCTCTATGTCATCGCTTTTTTCGCAGAAATTTTATTTCTGCCTTTAAATTGTTGCTGGCCTCAGAACTTTCATGAACAGTAATAATTTCCTGAAAACTTTCTTTTTTTTGGTCAAGGTTGGCATATTTGATTTTTAACTTTGTTAATTCACGTAGAATAGGTTTTTGTTTTCTTCAACTAGAGTATGTAGGTCACCAATGAGAATTTCTTTTACAGTTTGGGCTTTCTTACAATGTCTTTCTGGCTAATGCTGACTACAGGCGCTGTGGGATTCCATAAACACTGTCACACTCTTCTTCTGATAACAATTTATCTGATACAAGCATGAATTAAATTGTTTGAAATTTTTTTTTAATTTTGCAAAGTTCCAAATATGTGGAATAAAGGTATAATAATTCCTATGCCAAAATGTGCAACTGCAGATCCTAGAGATCTTTTATCATACAAAGGTATTATGTTAGCACCTTGTGCGTGGTTAGATGAAAGGGAGATAATAAATGATGAACAAAATGGGTTTATTAAAGGCAGCGTGAAGTACAATAGATCATATCAGCACGGTACATTAACATCTGTTATTAAAACTAGAAAAAAATGTAAATTGTCAACTTTTGTATCTTTCATTGATTTTACGAAAGCTTACGATTTTTTTCGACTACCAATTAATGGCAAAAGCTGTAACCAGGTCAGCAAGTAGGCTATTAGGGTTACTTATAGTTAAATGTAAAGTACATGGAGGTTTTCACCACAATATCTACACAAAGCTGTTTGATACGATGGTTTGGTCGGTCATGAATTATGGCTCATCTATCTGGGGCACCAGAAATTTTTATACCCCCAGACGATGCTGTGTCAAGTGATATGGGTTGGAAGCCACCTTGTGTTAAACAGTGGACAAATATTTTTAGACACTGGTCCAGATGTACAAATATGGAAAATAATATAATAAATTGTAAGGTTTTTAAATGGTCAGTGACGAGGGGCAGTTGTTAATTGAAAAATTGTAACAAAGATATGGAAATGTTGAAATCTTTTGATTTTGAAATATGTTGTAAAATAAATGATGATTTTTTTTTATAGTTATAGTATATCTCAGTTAGAAGAGAAAATGTTTGATAGATATAAAAGAGACTGGTGTACAAGAATCTTATCATATAGCACTGTTAGTAAATTGAGAACATATAAACTTTTTAAACATATTTATAACACTGAGGAATATTTGCTACAGAAAATGCTACTACGTCATCGCAGTGTTTTTTTCAAGATTTAGATGTGGTGTAACACCATTAAAAATTGAAAATGGTCTGTATGAAATGAAAAATCTTCACGACAGAGTTTGTTTTAACTGCAATATTTTAGAGGATGAAAAGCATGTACTTTTAAATTGTCCATTATATGAGGATCTAAGGAATGCTATGTTTATTGATATATTGTATTATAATGATATGTTTTTAAATTTGTCTGATGAAGAAAAAAATATATATCGTTTTAAAAATATCAATATTTGTAATATTGTTGCCAAAACCTACAATAACATTTTAACAAGGAGAAACAGTATTTCATATTATTAATTGCTATTTGTAGTATTTTTAATTTAAATTGGTATAGATATGTATTTAAATAGTCTCTCGTAATTCTTTTTAAGAATGGCACATACATATATTTTACTTGTTTTTATATATGTTTACTGTATATTTTTATTCAAGACTTGAAGAGTCAGTCCTAAATTGAGGTAAATTATATGGCCTTCCAAATACCGTTTCGATTCCTAACATCACTGAAGAGACATTAATTGTCGAAATCCGGATATGGTGTACCAATTTTTGCACCTTATGTTTGCGGTATACCATCTTTTCCGCAAGTTTATTGTTTTCTGTTTGGTATTAAATTAATAATTAAAATCCATTTTGTTACATCTGGTGATCCGTTTATTTGGCAATCGCCATGACAGTCAGCAGGGTTTAAGAACATCTGTTGTTCGACCTGCTAGTCAAATGCGTTTTGTTAAAATATACTTTTTCACTTTTTTGGTCTTATGGAAAATGTTGTTCGTACTGTATCAAGACCTCTCTACAAATAAATTTGTTTTGCCTGCACACGTATAAAATTTGCGGTTTTTATCCAACGCAATCATAGTTTTGAACGTTGTTTACAATTAAGACTTGTTAAATAATGTTAAATTATATTGCAACAAATGGCAACTCTCTTTAAATACAAACAAAACAAAATCCATGATTTTCAGTCAGTCCAAACAAAACGGTGAAACATCACATATTTACTATGAGAATGAAGCCATAGAGAGCGTATCAGAATATTCATTTTTGGGAATGTTGATAAAATGTAATGGAAATTTATCACAAAGTACCTTAGAGCTGACAAATAAGGCAAAAAAAGTATTTTTTGCAATAAAATCCAATACTAAATCATTGATTAATCTACCTATAAAAGTAGCAAATAACCTTTTTGATTCTTTAGTAAAACCAATTATGACCTATAGTTCAGAAGAAACATATTTGGATACATATATTTCTTTTTATAGAGCCAAAAACAGAGCCTTATCTTCAGGAAAACAAATTAATCAACTGGATTTTACAGACAAAACCCCTATTGAAAATATGCATCTTAAATTTTGTAAATCTACTCTAGGAATAAGAAAAAATGCATCCAATTTAGGAGCAAGAGTTGAATTAGGAAGATTGCCTATAGAATATTTTATTAAAACACAAACCCTTTTATATTATTTTAATAATAATATTAATCCATTGATAAAGGAAGCTTTTTCTCTAGCACAGTCTCTAGATTTGACTGGAACTTATTCATGGTATACATATGCAAAAAATATTGTTGAAGAGACTAATATTGACCTTAATATTTTTTTCTAATTGTAAGGACATAAAAGATGTAAATAAAATAAAAAACGATATAAAGTTAAAAATGAAAATTAGATATGAAGATTTAATTGAAACTAAATTTGAAAACATTGATGACAAAAGTAAATTTTATCTATATACAAAACTTAAAAAGGATTGCAAACTAGAATCTTATCTAAATATATCTAATTTTCAGATAAGGAGATTGATCACTAAATTTAGACTAAGTGATCACTCCCTCTTAATTGAAAAGGGGAGATATTTTAAAATCCCAAGCGAGGAACGACTTTGTCATAAATGTAAAATACTAGAGGATGAGAAACATTTTTTACTCTATTGTGATTATAATAAAACACTAAGAAATGCCTTTTTTGAACACATATGTACTGAAAATAATAACTTTAATAATTTAAATGAAGAAGAAAAAAATCATTATTTACTAAATCCATCAACGCCTTTACAACCAAATAAGTTAGGATCCTTCTTGAAAAAGTCATTAGAACTGAGGGCAGGGGACTCTTAACAACATGTTTGTTTTTATAAATTTTGATGCTGTTTTTATTGTGTTTGTTTGATATGTATGTATATATGTTTCTTGTGTTAAGGTCGCACTACAGTCAGAATTTTCTGACTCCAACCAACAGTCTTTACAGATTAATTTCTCCAAAACTACCTGATGGATTTTTAAAATCTTTAACTCATTTTAAAGCTGAAATATTACTCTTTCTTAATCTATAGATAAATTTATTTTTGTTATGATAAATCTCAAAATATAGCTCATTAATTGCCAAAAAAGTGGTCTTCCTACTTGGATGAAAATGGCACATTCAGGTCAAATGGTAGTAAAAATTTGTTTTCATCCCTTTAATCAACCATATACAAGCTACAAAACCGTGTCTCAGATTTTTGATATATGCTTCCAGTAAGAAGATATATTGATTTAACTGCTGGGTTCCAAACCTCATTTCACCTTTCATCTTTGGAGACCTATAAATTCATTTAGAAACAAATTATCCAAAAACTGGGACACGGTATTGTAGAAAATACTCCCTTTAATCACATATATCAAAGTCAAGCCAAAGGGGGTACCCATAAAGTTTATATTTTCATTTTTTCTTAACAAATCTCACGAAAAATTGTTCTGAGAAATGACCTAAAAACGGAATTTCCCCCTAAGAACCCCTATAAATGCAACATAAATACAAAAATTCCACTGAAAACACCCCAGGGGTGTTCTGACACCATTATTTTATCAATAGAACCACACACTTTGTGTCTTTGATGCTCTGATGCTGTAAATTTTGCATTAATCAAAGAATCAAGTTTCAGGCAAAAACATAACAAACAAATAATTAATGTGGAAATAACGGCCACAGTTCACTTTGAATGACGAGGTCTGACATGATAACAGAATGCCGACATGATTGATTTAACTGACAAATCTGTGCACCATTGGTAGCAATGGATGCTCAAGTTCCTCAAGGTTTATCCTAAAGAGAACGAGGGTTATGATCCCCAAATACGTCGGGTCTTATTCGCATCACCCCCTGGTTTCAGGGGAGTAAAGATTAACAGTTTCTATATCATAAAACTCTATATGCACGCTGAATACATAGTCCATACTATGTATCATAAAACAGTCAAGCTCGAACTGGTACCAATTCAGAACCGGCCACTCAGGGTAGACATGAGATGGTCTCAACAGAACTTCCTGCGGTACCGCAGGAAAGTAAAAACCTAATATGATCCGACGTACAATTACGGGAAACGATCATAACCCCTTAATCTTGCCAGATCCCGACATCCTTTTTGACTGTGACGAATGATTTTATTACAAAATAATGGACAATTAGAATCAAGTAATCAAGATAAATGCTGATCTTTATCCAAATAAAGTCAAAAGTTAAATGCATTCCAGGCGAAGAACTAATAGCAGGTATTGATAATTCTATTTTTACACTGCTGGTGTCTGAATATGTAGATAAAAGTGGTAGCCATTCATGAAAATTAGCATTAACATATATAGTTCTCGAACGTATGATTCAGCAAGCAAATCCATCGGCTTGTTTGTCTCCTCTTTTTTGTCCAAAATGTTATAGATCCGGCCTATTCTGGTCATTCTGAAAAGATAAATAAAACAGCAGCAGACAAAAGAATTGTTATTAGATGGAAGATTGCAGGGGAAGGTGGGTGGGTTTTTGAAACTTTTACATATCTACAATAGTGCCTAGTTCAATGTAATGCTGAAGAGTCATGTGACGTTGATTATCGGGAAACGAGAACCGGATCCTAATGACGCAGTAATCATTTCTCTTTCATTAAATTGGTTTATCTTATAAATGAGATAAACCGTATTAATCAAAGAATCAAGTTTCAGGCAAAAACATAACAAACAAATAATTAATGTGGAAATAACGGCCACAGTTCACTTTGAATGACGAGGTCTGACATGATAACAGAATGCCGACATGATTGATTTAACTGACAAATCTGTGCACCATTGGTAGCAATGGATGCTCAAGTTCCTCAAGGTTTATCCTAAAGAGAACGAGGGTTATGATCCCCAAATACGTCGGGTCTTATTCGCATCACCCCCTGGTTTCAGGGGAGTAAAGATTAACAGTTTCTATATCATAAAACTCTATATGCACGCTGAATACATAGTCCATACTATGTATCATAAAACAGTCAAGCTCGAACTGGTACCAATTCAGAACCGGCCACTCAGGGTAGACATGAGATGGTCTCAACAGAACTTCCTGAGGTACCGCAGGAAAGTAAAAACCTAATATGATCCGACGTACAATTACGGGAAACGATCGTAACCCCTTAATCTTGCCACTTGAGTGTGTCTATACACACTCATCAGAATCCCCCCCCTTTTTCCACAACCTAAAAGTCCATTTAAGTGAACTAGCTAAGAAGGCATTACTCTTTGTTAATACGTTTGAAACTTGGACAATAATATTTTTCCTTTTGTAATAGCTTTGTTATAATGGGGCTGTTATCCTTCCATAATATCCCCTCAGCAAAATTTGTTTTGGACGATATCACTTCTCTTGTTGTATTATCCATGTTATATATATATTTAATATCATCATAAAAACGCAATATTTTAGCAGTAATACATCCACTGATAAACCGATCATGAATTATCAGGAAGTTTTCTTCATAGAGATAAACAGTCTAATCAATAACATTGAACATCTGTCTACAAATTCGGAGATTTGGGTAACAACTAGACTGATTGTTCACTGCAAAAGTACAATCCAAGATGGTGGTATAATACCATGAATCTACCTAATTGCTTTGTTAATCTGCAATATGCACTATTAGATTTGCAAATCTATGTTCCTCTACAAAGTTTACGAAAATGCATTACCTGTATATATAATTCATGCTATCCAGGCACCCCTTCGAAGTCGTGTACATTTGTATATATTTAATTTTTATTTTCAACAAGTATCGTGACCAATATTTTAAAACCATGGGTGTATAACGTACACTTTAAAAATTAATTTATTCGTATCAATCAATATATAGAAAGTACCAAACTTCCTGTACTAAATCGACAATCACATGCATTCCTACTAGTACTTAAAATTCGGATACAGCTAAGCAGTCCGTGCAGCTTTTTGGAAAGTTCAAACTTGAATAGTTTTACGTCGAATATATTTTGTGACCTAAAAGAACTAGGTGCTAGAGTGAAATTCCATGTATTACTCTAAGTAATGGGTGTATATAGATGCATAGTTGATTAATTCCGACTAGAATTAAAAAGAAAGAGTCCATCAGCTCTGTGAATAGATAGGAATGCTAAATGTTCCTTTTAATAGAAGGAAATAGATCAAGAGTATTTGAAATAAATTTAAAAATTCATTGAGGCTCCCATCTGGATAATATACGTGTTTGTCTGTAAAAGTCCGTAACTTATATACCACATATTTGTTTTGTTTCTAAAAATAGTTGTGGGAAAGCCCATAGTTCGTGCTGACATGTAAAAGAAATGTGATAGTAAAATACAAAGGTATCCTCAATGTTCACATATCCGTGTTAGATGATGATGACAATCAAAAATATTATAAACAATACATGTATATATACAATAACATTATCGCACTTCAAAGAAAAGAGGATATTGTGTACCATGCTCTGTCTGCTGCTTCGTGAGTTTATAAAGTAATTTAATAATTGTGTCAAAAGTGCAGATAATTCACTTATTTGCTCTAAGTTGACTTGTTGATAAATTAATTGACCTGTCCATAGTTGCCTATTAACTACTGGTTTGAAGAAGACGTAGTTTATCTTGTGAACTGATTAAAGTGTGAATTTTGGCAAGGTATATTCTGATCGTATTAAATTCATTCGTAGCATGTTATGCTGTTGTTCTGGAAGTCCAGTGTCTGTTGTGTATATATATACTATCAAGAACAACGGTAAATGAGTTTTAGTGAGCTATCTGAATAACCTATACCAATAGTAATAACATATCATATGTTGAGGTCTTTTTTGAAAATATCAACTCAGCTTAATTGCTTGTTTAACTATATTTGCTTGTATAACTATATTAACACTATTTGCGTAAGTAAGAAAATTTAGGGTCGGGCATAATACATGTATGTATGATTCAACAACGTAAACATGAGCTCTGTAGATCTCTCAACTGACTTGATATTTAATATAAAAATCAAATATCAAATTATAAGCATATTATACAACAAGAACACATGCATATAAATGTAAATAGCTAGGCAAACATGCATAAATTAAAGCAAGCAAGCTAACAAGAAAAGAAACGGAAATTGAAAAGTATATATATATACATGTAACTGAGTAACTCACTCATGTAAAAAACCAAATGGCAAAGAAATCAACAAGAAATGATTGTAACAGGATGCTGTTACAAAGTCTCCCAAACGAAGCTCCCATAATTCGTAATTCCCAGGGTCGCCTGACATTGGGCAACGTCCAGTGAAAATTGGTTTGGTCCAGTACAGTTATATGCATTAGTGATGCCTGGGGACTAACCTTGTATATCATTCAAATCATCTTGGCATGACAAACCAGAATATATATGGTTTAGGGGTGGGGATCTCGACCATTTACAAGATACTAGAACATTGGGGGTGGGGAGGAACCCCTGGGGACTGGCCCTATACGTCATTCAAATGTTCATTACATGACGAACAGGAATATATATGGTTTAGGGGTGGGAATCTCAACCATTTACAAGATATTAGAACATTGGGGGTGGGGGGAACCCCTGGGGACTGACCGTATACGTCATTCAAATGTTCGAGACATGACAAATAGGAATATATATATGGTTTAGGGGTGGGGATCTCAACCATTTACAAGATATTAGAACTTTCTCAAATGGCAGGGGGTCGGGATGACCCCTGGGGACTAACCCTGTATATCATTCAAACCATCTTCGCATGACAAACCAGAATATATATGGTTTAGGGGTGGGGATCTTGACCACTTACAAGATATTAGAACTTTTTTAAATGGCAGGGGGTGGTGGTGACCCCTGGGGACTAACCCTGTATTTCATTTGATGTGCTTTATCATGACAAACCAGAATGTATATGGTTTAGGGGTGGGGATCTCGACCATTTACAAGATATTAGAACTTTCTCAAATGGCAGGGGGTCGGGATGACCCCTGGGGACTAACCCTGTATATCATTCAAACCATCTTAGCATGACAAACCAGAATATATATGGTTTAGGGGTGGGGATCTTGACCACTTACAAGATATTAAAACTTTCTTAAATGGCAGGGGGTGGGGGTGACCCCTGGGGACTAACCCTGTATTTAATTTGATGTGCTTTATCATGACAAACCAGAATATATATGGTTTAGGGGTGGGGATCTCGACCATTTACAAGATATTAGAAACTTTCTCAAATGGCAGGGGGTCGGGATGACCCCTGGGGACTAACCCTGTATATCATTCAAACCATCTTAGCATGACAAACCAGAATATATATGGTTTAGGGGTGGGGATCTTTACCACTTACAAGGTATTAGAACTTTCTTAAATGGCAGGGGGTGGGGGTGACCCCTGGGGACTAACCCTGTATTTCATTTAATGGGCTTTATCATTTAGAACATTTTCAATTAAAAAGATTGTGTCTATCACAAACGGTTTTCAATTTATAATCATTTGAAAATTTAAAAAAATAAAATCCCATAGGGTTCTATAGTAAAACCCTCTTTTCTTTTTGCCCCTCAAAGTACCCCTTTATAAACCCCATTGCACAAACAAAACCCTGATTGCACCACTAGATATGTTAGTCTAACATATTGTGAAACCCTAAGTTAATCTGACAAGCGGTTTTGGAGAACGGGTGCGGACAAGTTCAAATTTAAAAGCGGCGGAAGAAGAAGAAGAAGAAGAAGAAGAAGAAGAAGAAGAAGAAGAAGAAGAAGAAGAAGAAGAAGAAGAAGAAGAATAATAATAACAAGAAATGATTGTAACAGGATGCTGTTACGAAGTCTCCCAAACGAAGCTCCCATAATTCGTAATTCCCAGGGTCGCCTGACATTGGGCAAAGTCTAGTGAAAATTGGTTTGGTCCAGCAAAGTTATATGCATTAGTGATGCCTGGGGACTAACCCTGTATATCATTCAAATCATATTGGCATGACAAACCAGAATATATATGGTTTAGGGGTGGGGATCTCGACCATTTACAAGATATTACAACTTTCTCAAATGGCAGGGGGTCGGGATGATCCCTGGGGACTAACCCTGTATATCATTCAAACCATCTTAGCATGACAAACCAGAATATATATGGTTTAGGGGTGGGGATCTTGACCACTTACAAGATATTAGAACTTTCTTAAATGGCATAGGGTGGGGGTGACCCCTGGGGACTAACCCTGTATTTCATTTGATTTGCTTTATCATGACAAACAAGAATATATATGGTTTAGGGGTGGGGATCTCGACCATTTACAAGATATTACAACTTTCTCAAATGGCAGGGGGTCGGGATGACCCCTGGGGACTAACCCTGTATATCATTCAAACCATCTTAGCATGACAAACCAGAATATATATGGTTTAGGGGTGGGGATCTTGACCACTTACAAGATATTAGAACTTTCTTAAATGGCATAGGGTAGGGGTGACCCCTGGGGACTAACCCTGTATTTCATTTGATTTGCTTTATCATGACAAACCAGAATATATATGGTTTAGGGGTGGGGATCTCGACCATTTACAAGATATTAGAACTTTCTCAAATGGCAGGGGGTTGGGATGACCCCTGGGGACTAACCCTGTATATCATTCATACCATCTTAGCATGACAAACCAGAATATATATGGTTTAGGGGTGGGGATCTTACCACTTACAAGATATTAGAACTTTCTTAAATGGCATGGGGTGGGGGTGACCCCTGGCGACTAACCCTGTATTTCATTTCATGTGCTTTATCATGACAAACCAGAATATATATAGTTTAGGGGTGGGGATCTCGACCATTTACAAGATATTACAACTTTTTCAAATGGCAGGGGGTCGGGATGACCCCTGGGGACTAACCCTGTATATCATTCAAACCATCTTAGCATGACAAACCAGAATATATATGGTTTAGGGGTGGGGATCTTGACCACTTACAAGATATTAGAACTTTCTTAAATGGCATGGGGTGGGGGTGACCCCTGGGGACTAACCCTGTATTTCATTTCATGTACTTTATCATGACAAACCAGAATATATATGGTTTAGGGGTGGGGATCTCGACCATTTACAAGATATTACAACTTTCTCAAATGGCAGGGGGTCGGGATGACCCCTGGGGACTCACCCTGTATATCATTCAAACCATCTTAGCATGACAAACCAGAATATATATGGTTTAGGGGTGGGGATCTCGACCATTTACAAGATATTAGAACTTTCTCAAATGGCAGGGGGTTGGGATGACCCCTGGGGACTAACCCTGTATATCATTCAAACCATCTTAGCATGACAAACCAGAATATATATGGTTTAGGGGTGGGGATCTTGACCACTTACAAGGTATTAGAACTTTCTTAAATGGCAGGGGGTGGGGGTGACCCCTGGGGACTAACTCTGTATTTCATTTAATGGGTTTTATCATTTAGAACATTTTCAATTAAAAAGATTGTGTCTATTACAAACGGTTTTCAATTTATAATCATTTGAAAATTTAAAAAAAATAAAATCCCATAGGGTTCTATAGTAAAACCCTCTTTTCTTTTTGCCCCTCAAAGTACCCCTTTATAAACCCCATTGCACAAACAAAACCCTGATTGCACCACTAGACATGTTAGTCTAACATATTGTGAAACCCTAAGTTAATCTGACAAGTGGTTTTGGAGAACGGGTGCGGACAAGTTCAAATTTAAAAGCGGCGGAAGAGGAAGAGGAAGAGGAAGAATAATAATAATAATAATAAGAACTGAGCAAAAACAATAAGTCTTCCCAAACTTCGTTTGGGAGACTTAATAAGAACTGAGCAAAAACTAATAAGTCTTCCCAAACTTCGTTTGAGAGACTTAATAACAATAAGTCATCGTACTGCCTTCAACAATGAGCAGGGCCCATACCGCATTAATAACAATAAGTCATTTTACTGCCTTCAACAATGAGCAGAGCCCATGCCGCATTAATAACAATAAGTCATTTTACTGCCTTCAACAATGAGCAGGGCCCATACCGCATTAATAACAATAAGTCATTGTACAGCCTTCGACAATGAGCAGAGCCCATACCGCATTAGTGAGTAATTAAAAAACCCCAAAAGAAAAATGTTAAATAAGTCAAACGAGAAAACTGTAGGCATAAATTATGTACATTTTATTTATAGTAATGCCGATTTAAGTGTATCAAACAGTATTAGGAAATATTTAAGACTGTTCAAAGAATTTGCACGTGTAAATACTTTAATCGAAGCCATCGACTCTGATTGGATTTATTCTAACGCTATAGCGTCATCCGCCACAAAATTTGTCATTTGTCTTCTAAATCTCATATAGTGTATTTCATTTACTACGTCAGCTGAACCATCTAACACATAGTGTATAATTGTGTATAATAAGTGGTATAATGTTATTAATAGATAAAGGTTGACGAATTTGCACTTATTGCCCTCGTGTGTATCTTGTGTGTAATAGCGCTAGGTGCGTCTTTCAAACGACTGCATGCTGATATAACATATTGTACATTGAAGCAGAGACATGTAAAACTTACATATTATGTCTCTGATTAAAGTCTCAGTGCGATCATATTGCTCATGTGAAATTCAAATTAAATATATGACATCAAATAATAATAATAAATAATCCTTTCAGTAATCTTATGTTTATCACTATCAGATTAATCTTATTCGTTATGAGATAAATTTCAATTAGAATAATTATACGCCGCAAAACATCAACTTTTTTATAAATTCAACATACCAAGATTAATGTTTGACGAAATCTGCAAACCGCTGGAACCAGGTTATGAATTCTTTGGATCAGTGGTTCTCCTATTCTTTTGAATCGTGTTTTCCTTGTGCATGTTGTGTGTGCCGTGTGGAATTATAAATGGGGGCTCCTGGTGTGAAGATTTTGTTCTGCCATTAAATTGATCACCGGTCCATGAGCCACTGACAAATTGGAAGCTGTCCCTGTCATTGGTGCATTGTATAATTTTTATGGCGAAGATACATTAATTAAATTGTTCTATGATCTTTACACATCCATACAATGTCGAAAGAAACTGGAGGTGTTCCTCGTGTTGATGGCATCGAGTTCGGTTTACCTTTTAATTTCGTCATTTGCTGGCCCTTGCAAATGAAAATCCTTTCTTGGAGAATTACCTTGTCTCTTCGATAGTTTCATATCAAAATATTGTAATATGACATGCGGATGTCAATGATTTTTTACGATTGCATTTTTGAAACTTTTACATATCTACAAGAGTGGCTAGTTCAATGTAATGCTGAAGAGTCATGTGACGTTGATTATCGGGAAACGAGAACCGGATCCGAATGACGCAGTAATCATTTCTCTTTCATTAAATTGGTTTATCTTATAAATGAGATAAACCGTATTATGTGTGGCACTGTGCAACACTAACTTGGCATTTAGCGGGAGTTTGACGTCACAGATTTGACCAACATCTGTGATGTAGTAATTAAACAGAGACAAAGCTCCACCTCTGTCCAGACAGTCTAAGATAAGAGAATAACAAGATTGACCAGCTGCATATAATCAATATTTAACATCATTATTCTCACTATAAAGAATAATTTTCATTTGTATTTTAAAAAGAAATATACTATTACTGAAATTAGCTAGAACATTAAAATTGTGCATCAAAAGACATCTTCATAAAAAGATCCAAGACCATCCCCTTCTTTTGAGTTTTATGGAATAGAAAAATTTCAAATAAACTTAAAATTGGTTAAAATGCCTAAAACTGTATTTAAATGTAGAAGACCAAATAGAAGAAATTTATACAGGTAGTCGCAGGTTTTCAAAGATACTTTCACACTATTTTCCATATTTTTTTTCATTTTTGGTAGATTTCTTCCCTTTAGATTTTTCCTTTTCATATCTTTTTCTTTTTCTCTGTTGATAAACATGTTATATAAATTACTTTTGTTGCAATACAATGAGATAAGACCACAATATTTATCTTGTGGTCAGGGATTAACAGCTGGACACTGGTATCAACAGATGATTGACATATTAGCCCCTCCTAAATGCATATATATTTAGATTAATTACCATGTGCTTTTATTTACATAAGTTCATTATCAATTTACTCCCTGTTGTGATATGAGAATGACTTTGGGATTTTTACAAACTGTGCAGAATAATACTTAATTCAAAATTATGTGATAAAAAAAATATCTTCAAAAAATCATTGTTAGACTGTAGTGCTACCTTAAAGGTTTTTAGAAGGGTTTATAGAGCATTTTGACCATTTTTGCATTGTTTCCATGGTAACGGCAGCCATTTTGGAAATTCCAACGCCAAATGCCACATCTACAAATACTGCTCATCATTACTGTGAAGTTTCATCAAGTTTGAAGCATTATGAAATTTTTGAAACTTTTGCTGCAGTTTCCATGGCAACATAGAAGTTCCGATCATTGTCAAAATCATCCAAAACCTGTATATAGTGTACAACTACATTGATTCAAAATTTGAAGATTTTAAGTTCAAGCATACCCAAATAATTCACCAAACCCTAAAATTTTATTTTTTCACCTTTTTTCGGTTTCCATGGTAATAGCAACCATCTTTTAGTTCCAAAGTTGCACTGCAACTCTAAAGTTGGTGTTCCTTGTTATAGTGAACAATCATTTAGATTGGTTCCATTGACTCTGAGAAAACTCCCGGACAAAATTAGGTGGAATAATAATACTGAAAAAGAAACAGAGGAAAAGCAATATGTCACCCGAAATTGTCGATCGGGTGACATAACTAGATTTGCCATTGCAAGCAATAGCGGATGTCACCCTTCCCCCATTGACACTAAGCCGCAGCCATTTCGAAAATTTTAAACAGTTATGCACATATATGCATTGCTATACATATTTCTGTAAATTTTCAGTACATTTAAAGCATTTTGGAATTTTTCACATTTCTGTCGATTTAATGGCAACGGCAGCCATTTTGGAAATTATAAAGTCAAAAATCTCAACTATACTTGCCAGTTAACAATTGTATTTAGTTTCATTAAGTTAGAGCAGATTGTTACCCCTCGAAAAGAAATTGTCAACCTTGGCTTCGCCTCAGTTGACAATGTTTTCTCGGGGTAGCAATCTGCTCTATCACCCTCTCAGCTATGTTTTATTTATATAATATAAACTCTTTAACTAAGCGTCTTTTTCAACATTCGCCGCTCCACTACTTTAACCGACTGATATATATAGTAACATAAACAGGATCAATCTTTCAAAATTACAATATAAACAAACACTTTCAAAGCAATGCAAAAAAAAAGAAGAAAGACGCTTTTAGAATTAAATAAAACTTAAATATTTAGCTAATACGCATACCAAAACTCAGATTACTGTATCCGCAGCTGGTAAGAATAGTCATTTCCAACAACAACAAAAATACAAATAAAACAAGAAATTAGATTAACTTTCAATTTCATATAATAAAAATGCATTTTTTTTACATTAAAATTTAGTTGTAACTCAGATTTTGAATTGATTGATTTGAACTGCAAATAAATAATAAAAAAAAAGAATTCCTCACTAGCATATTACATAGTAACATGCATACTCACAATTAGAAACTATAACAAATTTCTACCATTTCATCGTACTGATGTGGGAATCTAATGTCTAAAACACAATTTATTACAATTTCCCAAATCAGAAAGTCCGTACATCACTAAGAATGATCCATAAATGAAATGCCTAATAAGGGAGTTGCATTAATTATAAACATTGCACTGACAATGAAAAGAATTCTTGATTAAAACCAATCTTCTACTTCTGGAATTCTTCTGTCCACGTCAGGACAACCCTAAATGAGTAGGTATATTTCGGTTATCTCTATGAACATTAAATCCTCCACCATATTAAAACTATCACCATATATACACTAAAAGCATCAGGGTTGATCTATTAGTAATTGTTCATGGCGCAGTAGCAATGTAGTAAAGTTTTATAACAGTTATTTCTTCTTGATATCTAAAGTTCTATATCTAGCCACATGAAGAGCATATACCATATGTCTTGATATGTCTTCTTTTCGTTGGAGTAAGTGAATCTCTCTTGTATACCGGGAAAGTAGCACGGAGCAATCCAAAATTATTTGTATTTGGTCATCGGTGGGTATGTCTCTTATTCTGATGTTTAAGCAGTCGGAAATTAGTTCATCAATTTCGTTGAGATATTTTTCTCTAATGTATTGAAGTATTTTACAATTTAGTAAAAAGTGAGAGCGATCTTCGATATCTATATCACATAGTTTACAGATATGGGTTTCGTTCAGGTTATATCTTGATCTACGAGATTGTAGAATGTAAGTATCAGTAATAAGTTTTAATTTCACGTACATACAGACAGCCTCTCTGGTTGGGTCACTTGTATTACCAATGGATAATAAAGTATGACATTTTCCTGGGCCATAAAAAAGAATATGTTTGTTTGCCCTAACAATACCTACCCAGAAAATAGCTGCCTACTCAAAATCTTTTATTGCCCTGATGTGAAAAAGTTTTTTTTTTATCAAGATAGGCATGAAGACTAAAAAACATCTGACACTTCAATTTCTCTTTGCCAAAAAAAAAAGAAAGAAAATACCTACCTACCTACCTTTGAGTAGGGTTTGGGCAAACCAAATATTTTTAAGTGTGGCCCTGGTGATAAGTTAAATGTTCCAAGGTATTTCAATGAAATATAAGTACGACTTTTTTTGTATTAGTAGATTTCTCCAATAGCGGTCGATTGCAATACGGACGGATTTCTTCCATGAATGTTTCGTTGGTGGATCATTCAGAAGTAGGATTGGTGATGGGAATTCGTATTTGAACAGTATTCTCTTGATCGCTATGAACCAGCTGTTACTTTCTTCACTTTTAGTAATTAGTTGCCTTCTTGCTATTTTCTTTTCCAAATTTTCCTCATTTTGGTTACATATGTTATTAAATAGATTTAATTTAATGATTTCTGATCGATTTGAGCTTCATTAGGTTGGATACCAGATAGTATGTAAATACTAGGATCTGGAGCAGATATTGGTACAGATAATATTTGTTTTAATAGTTTCTTCTGAAATTTTCCCAATTTAAGTAGGTTTTGAGATGTTGGTAGTATAACTTCTAGACCATATGTTAGGATAGGTTGTATAAAAGTTCTTACTAGTTGTATAGCAGTTAGTACTAGGATCAAGGCCGTTTTCTCCATGCATACCAGCTGACATTAAACTGTAGGCGGCTCTTCTTGATTTTGTGAGTATTTTGTTCGACAGTAGCATCTTATGTTTTTTGATTCGTTGTTGATCTTAAGATGCCAAATTGTGGAGATTTTTTCAGTAACTGGCATAGTATTATTATTTATACATATGAGTACCGGATCGTCGGTTTTTTGCGATTTGAAGGTTGTACTTGTAGGACTACACTTTTCAGAGGTTGTAAAAGGTAGCGATGGTTTTCACTGTATTGTACAGCTATATTCACTAGATATTGTAATTCATGTGGATATTCACTTACGATAGCTACATCGTCAGCACATGCTACTGCATTTATCAGTGTTTCACCTATCTCACATCCAGATGTAGTATTTTTAAATGTATTGAGCTGATCTTCAATATATACTTTATATAGATCGGCGCTTAATATTCAGCCCTGTTTAACGCCTTGTAGGACTGGAGATTTCAGTTGACCATTTTATGCGAGGTTCTGTGTTCCTATGAATTTCCTCAATAAGGAGCCATGTTGATGGATCGGTGCCTGATATATATATACTTTTCTTAGCAGCATTTTTACTACGACTACATCGAAGGCTGATTTTGCATCCACTAGGACTACATAAAAAGGTGATTTTCTTGTCCATACTTCTAAAATGATGGCAGCATTTAATGGTGAAGTATTTGCCGTAAAGCCTTTTTGTAGGATAGACTGTAGCTTTAAAGAACCCGATCTTAATTCTATTCGTAAGATGAATTCAATGATCTTCAGTAGTATGGGAAGAACTGTAATTCCATGATATTTTTTTGCATCGTTTTGTCTCCTTTGTCCTTAAATACGGGTGAAAATAAACCGGTTTTGATGAT